AAAACTCAGTTACCCTTTACAAAGAATAACTCCAAAAATGATAATGAGAATAATTAAAGCTAGGTGTGCAAAAACAATTAACTTAGTACTGATGCTATCAGCGGATGTTGCCAACTAATAAATCTGTCAGTAGGCAAGTGAAGAAACGTGGCATGCTTTCAAACATAAATATAAAATGTTTAAGGAAGAAAACCTGATAGGCATAACTGCGCCCAATTGTTTTGGTTGCATTTCAAATGTCCTGGTCGCACTAATGCATATGTTTGACATGACAGGCAGCACCAGGAAGGAAAGGGAGAGGGCTTGGAAGGAGGAGGGTACAGCCCCAGGATGGGCAGCTGGAGTGAACTGGGAGACAAAGGCAGGATTTATTTCAGAGGCAGGGCCCACAGAACACTCATGGATAGGTGGGAAGGTGAGGGAACAGGCAGAAATCCAAGAAAAGGACTTAGATTTTTTTTATTTAAGCATTTGGGTAACTGGAAGAACATTTGGTAAGAACTGAGGGACTGGGGGAGGAATGGGAATATCAAGAGTTCTGTGTAGGACATGTTAAGTTGAAGGTGCTTACAGGACAGCCAGATTAAGTGTCAGGTGTGCAGTCAAAGATATGAGTCTGGAGCGGTACATCCTAAGCCGCTGCCCACACCAACACGGAACTTCCGGGCCACTCACTTGAGCTCTCCTAAATACTTTCAAAGTGTCATTATGTTAATAACCTATGAGCTTGAACACGAGACTCAAACCCCACTCCTTGACTTTTAAAGACCATTTCAAGGACTTGGCACTCCAGGGAGTCAACTAAAGATGCCTGGTCCTACCATCAACCTCCACCCCACTTTTTTTTGTTTGTTTTGAGACAGAGTCTCGCTCTATCACCCAGGCTGGAGTGCAGTGGTGCCATCTCGGCTCACTGCAAGCTCCGCCTCCCAGATTCACGCCACTCTCCTGCCTCAGCCTCCCTAGTAACTGGACTACAGGCGCCCGCCACCCTTTTTTTTTGGATTTTTAGTAGAGACAGGGTTTCACCATGTTAGCCAGGACGTTCCCGATCTCCTGACCTCGTGATCCACGCGTCTCAGCCCCCCAAAGTGCTAGGATTACAGGTGTGAGCCACCATGCCCAGCCCCTCCACCCCATTTTTTAAAGAAAATATTTCTACCTGTCCTAAGGCAGGGTCCTGCCCCACTCCCAGGCCCCTTTAGATCCCCAGTATTCCTCCTCCCTGAACCAAAACCCTCATCATCTTCCAGCATGGGTGGGGCCTCCATTCTTGCTTCTGGTCCCCTGATCTTCACTCCCAACTTGACCTGAGCCTCCTCTTAAGTACCAGTCACTGCTTTGTTTCTGGAATGAGAGAAAAAGACAGAGTGAGAGAGACAGTCCAGAACTCTTGCTCACTCACAGCTGGGCTGGGCATCTGGGAGGATGGCTGTGTCCATGGGAACCCGGGAAAAGCCACACCCTTGGCACCCTGGTCGCCCACCTGTTTCCCTGGCAGATTCCCCACTGCTCTCTTGCACCCTCTACCAGGGCTAACCGGCCTGCTCACTCTCCCCAGCATGTCTTCCCACGCCCACTCTCTTTAATTATTACATTCCCTTCACATAAACTGCCCTTCTCTCCCAATCACCACATGTTCACTTCCCAACCAGCTGTCAAAGTCTGGCTCAAACTCATTCTTGAAAACGAAAAAACAAACAAACAAACAAACAAACAAACAAAAAGCCTATGATGGATTAAGAATACACTTCATTCCAGGAACGTGCTTATCTCCTCTAACTCTCACAACAACCACAGCAGGTAGGTGTTATCACACCCTACTCTCGGGTGAGAAAACAGGCTCAACAAGTGCAGGAGGACACAGCAAGTCAGTGACAAAGCTGAAATTCAAGCCCAAGCCTGTTGGCACCAATGTCTGTACCCTTGATCGCTACCTCATTTACCACCAAATCCAGTGGCCTCAGCCCTGGCTGCACGCTGGGATCGCCTGGTGCCCAGACCACGTCTTAGACCAGTCATGCGGAATCTCTTGGATTGGGATCCTCCACAGCACATTTTAAGAGCCCCCAGGTGAGTCCACTGTGGACCCAGACTTGAGAACCACTACCCTATACCATCTCCTTCTTCGTCTCTTCTTAGGCATCTCTTGCTCCCTCTGAACTCCAATACCACTTTGTTCAATCATCCAATCACTCATTCACTGAGTCAGTCAGTCAGGAGCTACTCACTGGTCCCCTGCCAGGTCCCAGTCACGACATGGGGCTCTGGGGACCCATGCCTCCTACTCTCATGGAGCTTGCTCTGCAACAGAGGAAGCAGTCAGTGAGATGTAGCAAATGTGAAATGTGCACAGATAGGAAAAGCAAAACTTTAAAACTTTTAGGACAAAATACACAAGAAATCTTTGCAGCTTTGGGACAGGAAGGAACAACATTCCTTACACATGACACCAAAGGAATAAACCATAAATAAAAACCTGATCAATTTGACCTCATTTAAACGTTAAGATTTTTCATTGAGAGACACCATTAAAAATTAAAAATACATGCCACAAACTGGGATACAATATTTACAACACTTATGTCTCACAAAGGATTAGTTTTCAGAATATATAAAGAACTCCCGGCCAGGTGCAGCAGCTCACGCTGGAATCCCAGCACTTTGGGAGGCGAGCAGATCACATGAGGTCAGGAGTTCGAGACCAGCCTGGCCAACATGGCAAAACCCCATCTCTTCTAAAAATACAAAAATTAGCCAAGCATGGTGGCAGGTGCCTGTAATCCCAGCTACTCAGAAAGCTGAGGCAGGAGAATCACTTGAGCCCAGAAAACAGAAGTTGCAGTGAGCTGAGATCATGTCACTGTAAGCCTCAGTGACAGAGTAAGACTGTCAAAAAAACAAAAACGAAAACAAAAACTCATACAAATAAATAAGAAAAAAACCCAGCAGGAAAAAATATGTACATTTCATAAAAGAATAAATACTTTCTCTCAGTTTTCTAACCTCGATTTTTTCAGAGTAAATACAAATGGCTAGGAAACATGTTTTAAATGCTCAACCTCATTAAAAATTATAGAAGTGAAAATTAAGCCACAATAAGATACCATTTTATACCAAATAGAGTGTCAACACTTTACAAGTCTGACCTCACCAAGTGTTACCAGAAGTGTGCACTGATGTGGCAACTGAGATACTGATGGTGGGTGTGTAAATCCGTACTACAAACAATTGCAATAAAATGTAATCAATATACAATAGGTGGAGCAGGAGGTGACCTATAACCATATAGCAGGTGGGGCAGGAAAAAGCCTATGAAAGCTGACACCTAAGAGATAAGTTCCACTTCCCCAGCTGAAGGGAGGGAGGGTGTTCCAGGTAGAGGAAGGATAAGCATGACATATTCAAGGCCAGTGAAAGCAACATGCAACAGCCAAGTCAGGAGAACCTGAAATTGTGTCAAAGAGCTTGGATGCAAAGAGCCATGGGAGACTATTGGGGGTTTTAAGCAGGGACATAGCATTCATTCATGCATGCAGTAAAAGGTCACTGGCACCTGCCATGGGCCAGGGCTTGGGCTCTATTTACATGATTGCATCTGTTTTGGAAATATCACCCTGGCTGTGAGATGAAGAACACGTGGGAGGGTCACACAACTTGAAGCAGAGAGACTGTTGAGGAGCTAAGCTGTTTTTGTGTGGACTGTGACAATCACAGAGGCAGAGGATATAAATGCACAGAGACACAAGGCATGTGGGAGGCAGAAGGAATCAAATATGATGAGTGATCAGATGTGGGGTTAGAGTGGTGAGTGAGAAGACAGACTCAAGGTGACACGCCCAGGTATCTGGGTGGATGGTAAGACATTCATGGACTAGGAATCGAGGAGGAGGGTGGAGAATGGACAATACATGCAGTTTGGAAGGGGCAGACAAAAGAAGATTGTACAGGAGACTGAGAGAGGAATAGACAAAGGAATCCCAGTGCAGTATTACAGAAACTGGGGTGGAAGGGGGTTGTAGTTCAAGAAGGAAAGAAAATTGTCAAATAGTATGAAATGCTGCAGAGAAAGTCATGGATTTTTTTTAAGCTGAGAATTATTCATTGACTATGGGAATAAGAATAACTTTTATGAAAGTTTTGGTTAAGTAGTAGGAAGAAGCTGATGAGTGGGAGGAGAAGGAAGTGAAGGCACTCTTTCAAGAGAAATAAAGCAGAAGGTGAGGAGAACACTAGTGAAGGAGGTACTGCCTTCACCATTTTGTTTTGCTGTAGATAAGCAAGACTTGAGTGGGTCTGGTGAGGAGAAACAAGTAGAGTACAAAGTTGAAGGAGAGACAGACAGAGATAGAGACAGGGACAGAGAGAGAGACAGAGACAGAGCACAAAAAAGCAAGGTCCCTGAGAACACGGGCTTTCTGTTTAAACCCCAGCCAGATGTATTGCAATTCAATTCCAGCACTAACCACCCAGAGTTAGTGTAGACTCTACAAGTTAAAGAGCATGGTCCCCAATAAGACTGCTCCTACTTCAGATGCCAGGCACACTTCAGGGGTCCCCAAGCCGCTCACATTTTTTGAATGACTGCCATAAGCTCAAAAATTCCCACAGTTCTCTCAGATTCAATAACTGGGTATAACAACTCAGAACTCAGGAAAATGCTATCATTATTATTACAATTTTATTATATAGGATATAGATCAGAAGGACCAGGCCAAATGAGGAGGCACATAGAGAGAGGACTAGTAAAAAACACAGAGCTTCTGTGTCCTCCCTTCAAGGAATCAGGATGCACCACCTCCCAGCACATCAAGGGCTCGCCAACCAAGAAGTTCCTCTGAGCTTCAATGTCCAGAGATTTTGGGTGGGATTCATTACATGGGTATGATTAATTAAATCATTGGCCATGTACTTGAACTCAATCTCCAGGGTCCCTCTCCTCCCTAGAGGTCTGGAGGGTTGGCTAATATCATGTAGCTCAAAGCCCCAACTCTAATTACCTGCTTGGTCTTTTCAGGGACCAGACACCATGCTGAAGCTATCTGCAGGCCCTGCCGTGAGTTAGCTCATTAACATAAAAAAGGCACTTCTATTACTCAGAAAATTCCAACAGTTTTAGAAGCTCCATATCAGGAACCTGGAACATAGATCAGACAAATTATTTTCTTTTTTTTTTTTTTTTTTGAGACAGGGTCTTGCTGTGTTGCCCAGGCTGGAGTGCAGCAACAGATCACAGCTCAATGCAGCTTTCAACTTCCCAGGCTCATGTGACCCTTCCACCTCAACCTTCCAAGTATCTGGGACCACAGATAATGGAATTATCCTGATTTTTACACTTTTTTTTTTTTTTTTTTTGGTAGGGATGGGATCGCCCTGTGTTGCCAAGGTTGGTCTCAAACTTCTGGGTTCAAGCAATCATTCTACCTTGGCCTCTGTGATGGTTAATATTGAGTGTCAACTTGAGTGGATTGAAGGATACAAAGTATTGTTTTTGGGTGTGTCTGTGAGGGTGTCGCCAAAGGAGATTTAATATTTGAGTCAGTGGACTGGGAAAGACCCACCCTCAATCCAGGTGAGCACAATCTAATCAGCTGCCAGTGAGGCCAGAATAAAAGGAGGCAGAAGAATATGGAAACACTAGACTGGCTTAGTCTTCCAGCCTACATCTTTCTCTCATGCTGGATGCTTCCTGACCTCAAACATCAGACTCCAAGTTCTTCAGCTTTTGGACTCTTGGACCTTCAACCACAGATTGAAGACTGCACTGTTGGCTTCCCTACTTTTGAGGTTTTGGGACTCAGACTGGCTTCCTTGCTCCTCAGCTTGCAGACGGCCTATTGTGGGACTTTACCTTGTGATCATGTGAGTCAATATTTCTTAATAAACTCATATATATATGTGTGTGTGTGTATATATATGTATAGATATGTATTAGTATATATATGTGTATATCTATGTGTGTATATATATGTATATATATTAGTCAGGATTCTCAAGAGGGATAGAACCAATAGGATATATATATATTGGATAGAACCAATAGGACATAAGTATATACAACCAATATATCCTATTGGTTCTATCCCTCTTGAGAATCCTGACTACTACAGCCTCCAAAAATGCTGAGATTACAGGAGTGAGCCACAGCCACCATGCCCAGCCCCAAATTCATAATTATACAACAATGGGTCCAGAGATCAGGGCCTGGGTAGGATGCAGCAATAAGACAACAGATGGTGGATGGGGACACATGTTGGAAGTGTGGCAGGACATGGCCGAGGGAGCTCGTAGGATGGTGTCTATTTTCATGGCTGAGTGTGAGGAACAGTGTGCGGTCCAGATTTTAGGTCAGTGGTGAGTTTTTGAAATTGTTGCTGTAAACCCCAAAATTCTGACCCAGGTCTCAGTTAATTTAGAAAGTTTATTTTGCCAAGGTTGAGGACACCCACCCATGACAGAGCATCAGGAGGTCCTGACCATATGTACCCAATGTGGTCAGAGCACAGCTTGGTTTTATATATTTTAGGGAGACATGAGTCATCAATCAATATATGTCAGATGTAGACTGGTTCTGCCTAGAAAGGCAAGACAACTTGAAGCAGGGAGGGGGCTTCCAGGTCACAGGTAGGTGAGAGACAAAACAGTTGCATTCTTTTGAGTTTCTGATTAGCCTTTCCAAAGGAGGCAATCAGATGTGCATTTATCTCAGTGAGCAGAGGGATGACTTTGAATAGAAAGGCAGATTTGCCCTAAGAAGTTCCAAGCTTGACTTTCCCAGCTTAGTGATTTGGAGGCCCCAAGATTTTTTATTTCACTTTCACATTTCCCCTCTTTTCTTTTTTAAAATATTTTAGAGAAAGCATTTTAGAAGAAAATAAGTCTCTGGTCATCTGATTGCTCAAGGCTAGGATGGTTTATTCCTAGACGGGTAGGTTCTGAGTTATTAGGAAAGTTCATTTTTAGCAGGTTGTGAAGTTTCATGTCCTATGAAGAGAAAATAGGGGAAGGAAGGGAGAACAACAACAACAAACAAAAGAACAATCTGTAAAACTGATATAGGCCACATTCCTCTGAAGTCTATGTATCAGTAGGCAGATATGAAAGTGGCTTACGTATGTAAATAGGTTGCCATTATTTTCTTCTGAAGATTAAGTTGTCTAGCTTCAGTCTGCAGGGCTTTACAAAAGCACAGCTTAGTTTTCAGTGACTCCAAATTAGGAAAAGTGGAGGTGGAAAAGAAGAAAAAAAATTGAAAACATTATTTTGAAGACTTACAGCCAAGAAAAATTAGAATTCAGTCCAAACTGTAAAAAATAATAAAAATTGAAAAACATTAGGCAAGACTAGAATCTACCAACAAGTGTACTACAGTTTTTTGAAATACATTTTTTCTCTCCCCAGTTTCCCATTTTTACTAGACAAATCATGATAAGACTGATTTGCTGTATTATACTTGATCTGTTTATTTGTATACAGTGCAGCAAGGGCCGGGCGCGGTGGCTCAAGCCTGTAATCCCAGCACTTTGGGAGGCCGAGACGGGCGGATCACGAGGTCAGGAGATCGAGACCAGCCTGGCTAACACGGTGAAACCCCGTCTCTACTAAAAAATACAAAAAACTAGCCGGGCGAGGTGGCGGGCGCCTGTAGTCCCAGCTACTCGGGAGGCTGAGGCAGGAGAATGGCGTAAACCCGGGAGGCGGAGCTTGCAGTGAGCTGAGATTCGGCCACCGCACTCCAGCCTGGGCGACAGAGTGAGACTCCGCCTCAAAAAAATAAAATAAAAATAAAATAAAAATAAAAAATAAAAAATACAGTGCAGCAAGAATAAACATTTTTCATGGACTTTTAATTTGGCTTTGATGTAACTTTTTCTATAGAAGGAATCTCAGGTAAGACTTTTGTAAATCTGAGCCCAGCCATGGATTTGTACTATCAAAAATACCTATGAGTTGGGTGAATTCCTCTCCTCTTGAGGTTCCAGGATAAACTTTGGACTCCTGGGCCTGTCAGAGTGACATTCTTTAATTACCACAGATCAGGAACCCTGTACAGGGACTGGGTAGACAAGGTATGAAGGTAGTTTTCCCAAGGGGCTTTTATTGGCTCCGTAAGTCAAGTTTGATTCCTTAAAGTAAAGACAGCATTCCAGTCAAAGCCTTGGTAAAATAACCAGTTTGCCCAACTGTGTTCTGTTACAAATGAAAACAGATTCTTATTGTACTTATGTAAATAATTATATTGCCATAAGTTAAGAATACCCACAAATTGTTTCCAAATTCTAGAGAAATCAGATAGAGAGAAACAAACATGCTCCAAATTGTGTTCACAGGAGTATACTTAATTGTTGAAAGCTGTCAATAGCTCAAAAGAAAAATTTCCTTGACTCTGAAAAACAAAACAAAAGATCATCAACATTTTAAGAAAAAAGGTCAAAAAGATTACTTCAGCATTCTGTTAGTTCCATCCATGAAGTTACTTCCTGTTCTGCTTGATATTCATGAATATTTCAGCACTCCATGAATCCTGAAAGTTTTTCCTCTATTCTGATGTCACAGTTTCCAAAGTTATCAGAAGCCTGCATTCAAGATCACCCGTTAGAGTTTTATAGCTGATTATAAAACCACCTTTTCTAAAGAGGACCAAAGCAAAACAACAATTGTCCAAGGATGACAAAAAGTTTTAGGGCAACTATCGTCAAAGACACACTTGACGAGGAAATTTGTTACCTCCATGGCACACAATAATTTACCATAACAATTATAATTATTACTGATAATGTACACCAAGTCATATCAGAATTATAGGAGTTTCCCATAATGTTAGAACACATACCAATAACATATTTATACAAATACAGCCCAAACAAAACCAAATACTATTTCATATTTGACAATGGTTCCTGTAAAATCTTTATAGCAAATAAGCCACATTATGTTATTTTTTTTCTTTTTTGGACTTTAGGGAACCTCGTATCTTAAAGGATTCATTAGGTCAGAAAAACACATAATTTATAGTTTGATTTTGGAAAGTTTGTCAAATATCAAAGGTTTAAAACACTTGTTGAAAGATCATTGTAAAATAAGTCATTCATTTGATCAAAGTGATAACTAAAGAATTTTCAAAAAAAAAAAAAAAGTGAAAGCCTTCATTCTTTCAGAGAGACTTAATTTTCCAAATAATAAGCCCTTAAAAAAACAGAATGAAGCCAATTAAATTTGTTTTTCAAAACTATATTAACAATCTATGAAATTTTTATCTTGACCATAGCTATAACTTTCAGAAGCCTTTTATAACCTCTATAACCTTTATTAAGGAGTAGGTTAATGCTTCAAGAAAACCTTGTTAATCTGGCCGGGCACGGTGGCTCAAGCCTGTAATCCCAGCACTTTGGGAGGCCGAGACAGGCGGATCACGAGGTCAGGAGATCGAGACCAGCCTGGCTAACACGGTGAAACCCCGTCTCTACTAAAAATACAAAAAACTAGCCGGGCGAGGTGGCGGGCGCCTGTAGTCCCAGCTATTTGGGAGGCTGAGGCAGGAGAATGGCGTAAACCTGGGAGGCAGAGCTTGTAGTGAGCTGAGATCCGGCCACTGCACTCCAGCCTGGGTGACAGAGAGAGACTCTGTCTCAAAAAAAAAAAAAAAAAAAAAAAAAAGAAAACCTTGTTAATCTGATACAGGGGTCCATATGCTGATCTTGCATCAGTGTGCCTTTGACATTAATGATTATGATTAATTTATAGAGAAATCAAACTTATTTTATCTCTCAAAATTGGCCCTTACAATCTCACACACCCACCTCTTCCAATATAGTCCCTGGGCTTGAGTTGAATAGCTTTAATTTCTGGCTCTGTGTTTCAAGAATGCAGTTTATTTTGATTGGCATCTTCTACCAGTCCTGAAGATGAGCCTTTAATTGCTGTCAGTGTTTAAGATTTAGCAGGACTGGTCCTTTTAAGACCCAGGAGTCAAGCCTTATAACTCAATGTCACAAGAACTTTAAAAGCACATACATAAAGATACATGAATGTAATAATCATAATTTTTTAAAAAAAATTAGTAATTTCAGTGTTTTCTAAGCAAACCAAAACTTAATAATAATGGCATAGAAATTATTTCAATAAAACATAAAATCTGTTAAGCCAGTTACCAAAAGGCAAAAGAAAAGACCTTCTGCAATGCACAGAATACTATGTTGGAAGAAAATACTTCCTTTAGACCTTTAAGAAAACATTGTTAGCATCAGGACACAACAAACAGAATCTGAGGGGAAAAAAACGTATATGAGCTGAAGGAAGTTGAAGGAGGGCATTACTATTTCCCACCCTTTTAGAGGGGAGAGAAAACCAAAAGCAGCAAGACGCAATAAAAACTGAGCTTTAGGTTAAAAAAACTTCTTAAGTCTCTTATAATTTACTAAGAGTGAATCTACCCCTTAAGAAAATTTCATCATTCTAACCAATTTTTTAGTGTATAAGTAGTTTTTTAACATCAAACTCAATCTCTAGAAAGACCATTATAATTTCCCTTTAATTATAGACAACTTGATCATGTAAAAGTTTTTTAAAATAAATCCTCTTATTGTGACTTACACAGACTATTTGTAACATGCGTGGACTTTCTGGTTTGTCCTGAACATCTCTTTCTTTCTTTCTTTTCTTTTTCTTCTTTTTTTTTTTTTTTTAAATTATACTTTACATTCTGGGATACATGTGAAGATTGTGCAGGGTTATTACACAGGTGTACATGTGCCATGGTGGTTTGCTACACCCATTAACCTGTCATCTATATTAGGTATTTTTCCTAATGCTATCCCTCCCCTTGCCCTTCACCCCTTGACAGGCCCTGGTGTGTGACATTTCCCTCCCCAAGTCCATGTGTTCTCATTGTTCAACTCCCACTTACGAGTGAGAACATGTGGTGTTTGGTTTTCTGTTCCTGTGTTAGTTTGCTGAGAATGATGGCTTCCAGCTTCATCCATGTCCCTGCAAAGGACATGAACTCATTCTTCTTTATGGCTGCATAGTATTCCATGGTGTATATGTGCCACATTTTCTTTACCCAGTCTATCATTGGTAGGCATTTGGGTTGGTTCCAAGTCTTTCCTATTGTGAATAGTGCTGCAATAAACATATGTGTGCATGTGTCTTTATAGTAGAATGATTTATAATCCTTTGGGTATATACCCAGTAATGGGATTGCTGGGGCAAATGGTATTTCTGGTTCCAAATCCTTGAGGAATTGCCACACTCTCTTCCACAATGGTTGAACTAATTTACACTCCCACCAACAGTGTAAAAGCATTCCTATTTCTCCACATCCTCTCCAGCATCTGTTGTTTCCTGACTGTTTAATGATTGCCATTCTAACTGGCATGAGATGGTATCTCATTGTGGTTTGATTTGCATTTCTCTAATGACCAGGGATGATGAGCATTTTTTCATATGTTTGTTGGCCACATAAATGTCTTCTTTTGAGAAGTGTCTGTTCATATCTTTTGCCCACTTTTTGATGGGGTTGTTTGTTTTTTTCTTGTAAATTTGTTTAAATTCCTTGTAGATTCTGGATATTAGCCCTTTATCAGATGGATAGATTGCAAAAATTTTCTCCTATTCTGTAGGTTGCCTGTTCACTCTGACGATAGTTTCTTTTGCTGTGCAGAAGCTCTTTAGTTTAATTAGATCCCATTTGTCAACTGGCTTTTGTTGCAGTTGCTTTTGGTGTTTTAATCATGAAGTCTTTGCTCATGCCTATGTCCTCAATGGTATTACCTAGGATTTCTTCTAGGGTTTTTATGGTTTTAGGTCTTATGTTTAAATCCTTTTTTTTTTTTTTTTTTTGAGACGGAGTCTTTCTTTGTTGCCCAGGCTGGAGTGCAGTGGCATGATCTCCGCTCACTGCAAGCTCCATCTCCCAAGTTCATGCCATTCTCCTGCCTCAGCCTCCCGAGTAGCTGGGACTACAGGTGCCCACCACCACACATGGCTAATTTTTTATATTTTTTAGTAGAGACGGTGTTTCACCATGTTAGCCAGGATGGTCTTGATCTCCTGACCTCATGATCCACCCGCCTCGGCCTCCCAAAGTGCTGGGATTACAGGCATGAGCCACTGCGCCTGGCCATGTTTAAATCTTTAATCCATCTTGAGTTAATTCTTGTATAAGTTGTAAGGAAGGAGTCCAGTTTCAGTTTTCTGCATATGGCTAGCCAGTTTTCCCAACATCATTTATTAAATAGGGAATTATTTCCCCATTGCTTATTTTTGTTAGGTTTGTCAAAGATCAGATGGTTGTAGATGTGTGGTGTAATATCTGAGGCCTCTGTTCTGTTCCTTTGGTCTATATATCTGTTTTGGTACCAGTAGCATGCTGTTTTGTTTACTGCAGCTTTGTAGTATAGTTTGAAGTCAGGTAGCATGATGCCTCCAGCTTTGTTCTTTTTGCTTAGGATTGTCTTGGCTATATGGGCTCTTTTTTGGTTCCATATGAAATTTAAAGTAGTTTTTTCTAATTCTGTGAAGAAAGTCAATGGTAGCTTGATGGGGATAGCATTGAATCTATAAATTACTTTGGGCAGTATGGCCATTTTCACAATATTGATTCTTCCTATCCATGAGCATGGAATGTTTTTCCATTTGTTTGTTTCCTCTCTTATTTCTTTGAGCAGTGGTTTGCAGTTCTCCTTGAAGAGGTCTTTCACATCTGTTGTAAGTTGCATTCCTAGGTATTTTATTCTCTTTGTAGCAATTGTGAATGGGAGTTCACTCGTGATTTGGCTCTCTGTTTGTCTATTATTGGTGTATAGGAATGCCTCTAATTTTTGCACATTGATTTTGTATCCTGAGACTTTGCTGAAGTTGCTTATCAGCTTAAGGAGTTTTGGCGCTGAGATGATGGGGTTTTCTAAATACACAATCATGCATCTGCAGAGACAATTTGACTTCCTCTCTTCCTATTTGAATACCCTTTATTTCTTTCTCTTGCCTGATGGCCCTGGCCAGAACTTCCAATACTATGTTGAATAGGAGTGGTGAGAGAGGACATCCTTGTCTTGTGCCAGTTCTCAAGGGGAGTGCTTTCAGCTTTTGCTCATTCAGTATGATATTGGCTGTGGGTTTTTCATAAATAGCTTTGAACATCCCTTTCTTATCCAGTCACTTTATTCTAGGACAAAATTTATCATACAAGATTCTTTCTTTCCTAAAATTATTTCTCTTTAAGCTTTCTTACCAAAAAATACCACTTTATTTCTATAATTTTCTTTATATTTCCCTTATTTTCTCATTCCTTTTACCTTGTTTTATACATAACTTTTCAATATATTTTGAATTAGATAAAAATTATTCACCTTTTTAAAAGGACACTTTTTTTTTTTTTAAGAAAGAATGGTTTCATACAATATGTTTTTCTTGGAAAATACCCAAACAATGAAATACTTATTATTTAATTTAACTTTATATTCTCAATTATGACGAGTTTGTCCACAAATATTTATCCCATTACATTTACCTAATTATTTTATTTTAACTGTTTACCTAGATTATTTATGAAAACTGTGATAGCCATCATTTAAAGTTATGAAACTGCCATAACTGAGACAGCAAAAAAGATCTGAGCTAGCTGACTCCATCTTGCTTCTAGCCTCCAAACTGTCCTTGTTCATTCCTGGGCGTAGGCTGAACTAACTTTGGGGGGAACTTAGTTATAGTTTAGCTTTGAAACAAAGATTATAACAGTCCTTTTCCAAAACAAACCTCCTTCCTGCCTTTGGACTAGACTGCGTAAAGCCATAAGGTTAGAAGTTATGGTAATTTTACTAAATAATGCAAGATGTAGCTATTTTCATTAAACCAATATTAATTTCTTATTTATTAAAGATTAAACAAGCAAAGATCATTCTGTTTTGGGCTGGGTTTATAGTTTTGTAACCCCTATGCCAAATTTTGACATCTTATGGTATTTGACAGGGATAGGTATAAAATTGCTTGATTAATAAATCCAAACAAAAATGTATGCTGGCAATTATTTTTTTTCAGGGCAGTCATTACTTAATTTTTAAAACTCTTATTTAAATTTGCAATATTTTAAATCAACATCACTTAAAGTAGTAATCAACAGAGGTTAGGAGAACATAACAATACTCTTTCTCTTAGAAAATAACAGCAAAAATATAATTTTTTACAGTTTTTCTCCCAAAGTTTTCTCTGCAGTAACATGCCTTACTCACCTTTACAATAGGTTTGTTGTGAGAATCATGTAATGTAAACACTGGGCATTCTATGAAACATTTTTAAACTTCTAGTTTACACCCTACTGACTCTTATTCAAGTGTTTTTAAAAATATACTTTAAAAACTGGCCAGGCGCAGTGGCTCACACCTGTAATCCCAGCACTTTGGGAGGCCAAGGCAGGTAGATCACAAGGTCAGGAGTTTGAGACCAGCCTAGCCAACATAGTGAAACCCCATCTCTACTAAAAATACAAAAATTAGTTGGGCGTGGTGGCGTGTGCCTGTAGTCCCAGTTACTCAGGAGGCTGAGGCAGGAGAATCACTTGAGCCCAGGAGGCAGAGGTTGTGGTGAGCTGAGTTTGTGCCACTGCACTCCAGCCTGGGCAACAGAGCGAGACTCTTTCTTTCTCTCTCTCTTTCTCTCTCTCTCTCTCTCTTTCTCTCTCTCTCTCTCTCTCTCTCTCTCTATATATATATATATATATATATATATAATGTATTTATTTATTTATTTAAAAAACTGTTCTTCTTTTCTTTCCAATACTTTTATAATTTCCAAGAGATTTTAAGGATCTTGAGAGAACATTTATTACGGAAATATCTACTACTATTACTAGTCAAGAAAGCAAACTTAGGTAAAGGAAAGACTTAATAGTTTGCCTTATATACATCTTAATCACCCTAATGGTAAAAACTCACATGAAACTTTAAGATACAAGGTGATATGAGAATCTCAACATGGAAGCTATCACTATAACTACAAGCAGTGTACAAACATGCTTCTACTTTTACCTACATAAGCTGACAGATGTTTAAACTACTGGGTTAACAAAGATCTTTTAGTAAAGTGACTTAGGCAAGCTTAAACTAGCAAGGATTAAGGATGAACCCTTACTAATTAATTGGAAGATCTGTGACATACTGTATATTTCATTTTACAAAATCAAGAAGACAAGACAAGAAACAAGACAAGACGACATGGTCTACCTGTCAAAAAACCACCACTCAGAAATATTTTTCATCCACAATGCAGGAAAAACATAAAATCTTTTAAATTTCACATTGGCACCAAAAAGGTCAACTGCTCAGCCTTCTTGGATTAGAAAGCTGAGTGTTCAGTAGTTTTGCAGGCATTTGAACTTGTCTAAGCTTTTAAATCAGTAAAATGCTTTCTAATAATTCTGATTATACTTCTAAAGAATTCAAACGGGGCCGGGTGCAGTGGCTCACGCCTGAAATCCCAGCACTTTGGGAGGTCAGGAATTACAGACTCATCTGGTCAACATGGTGAAACCCCATCTCTACTGAAAATACAAAAATTAGCCAGGCATGGTGACAGGTGCCTGTAGTCCCAGCTACACAGGAGGCATGGGAGGCTGAGGCAGGAGAATCACTTGAACCTGGAAGGCAGAGGTTGCAGTGAGCCGAGTTCATAAAACTACCCTCCAGCCTAGGTGACAAGAGTGAAACTCCATTTAAAAAGAAAAAAAAAAAAATTCAAACAAAACAAAATGAAAAAAATACAAAGTGAAAGGCCCCCTACAAAAGCCCCTCTGGGGCCCATTCCCCCACCCCCTCAAATGAAACCACATTTAACAATTTGGTGCATATCTTTCCAAACCTTTTGTTCTACACATATAAAAAACATACATGCTTTGATTTGGCTCAGACTGTACATAGTATTTTCCTGCTTGCATTTTACACTTAATATATCTTTGACATCTTTGCATGTCAGTGCATGTTGGCTCAATGATATTCTATCATTAAATGCCCTTCCAAAAATGGCAAAATCACTTTAAAAATCATTCACACAAGTACATATTTACAATTTTAAAAGAAAACGGGCAGAATCCCAAAACACAACACCAACAAACCTCTAAAAATAATCTCTATCTTTCCACTAGCATGGAACAATTTATTCCTTTTTCACACAAAACGAATTATGTGATTGGAAAGATTAACTCTAATCTCCACATTTATATACAGAATGTTCTATTCATTAAGCCTATCTGAAAAGAATAAAAAATTCAGATGATTAATTCACTTACACTTAGAAATTAAGTCAATGTACTGTGAATACACATTGTGATCAGTTATAATATGATGCTTCTTAGTCTAGGGTTTCAATTAAATAACAGTAAAAACAATTCAGCAAATAAGACAGCTAATAACTGAAAAATCCAGAAATTCAGAGATTATATTGCCAACTAAAACACTGCCATTTACATTTTTTTTCCTACTTGGTAGCAAATGCTAATGGAATTCAATCCTGATTACTTAAAGTCAGTTCACATCACACATTTAATCAGGGTAATAAGACCATAACATGCCTACTATAGCATTAGATTAAGACATAAAATTTTTTTGCTTGAACGTAATGACGGCGTACCACATGGGACATTTGTCAACCGCTTCAGCACATTGTTTACGAGTGACTGGATGTCTACAAGGAATAAAAATGACAGGAATATTTCTATCCATACAGATTTTGCAAAGCTTCTCCTCTTGCAGGCGCCTTAGCTGCTCTTCAGTACTAATCTCTTTCTGCAATGAAGTCTGACTTGATTCATCTTGTGTACTATCTTTCTGAGCCTTCACTGGATCTGCAACCAGAAACTCAAGTGATTTATAGTTGCTCCCAGATGTCTGAATTTTTTCCTCCATTATTTTCTTAATGTCCTTGAAACTGAACCCCATTCATATAGCTTCTCGTACCATAGGATTATGGAAGATGGTATCAATTTTTCTAGTTAGTGATGGTGTTTTTTCAACAGTTCTTACCAGACACTCCTCAAGTGAATAGGATAAATGAATATTGTTTATATATTCTCATGTCTTCTGTTCTAGCAGATATTTACACCCTGGATGCCATTTAGCATGTTGTTCCCAAGGGTCTTCACTGGGCTTCCAATCAGTTACCCTCCCTCCACAGTGAAAGCACTTTACTTTATCACCTTCACCTAAAGCATAAAATCCAGCTCTTGCAAGCTGCTCCTTGTTCACTGAATATATCCACATCCCAAAAGTAATGATCCATACTTCATAATCTGCCACGTATGGATGGATGGATGGATGGATGGATTTCTTGGAGGATTTGTTGAATTCGGGAAATTCCACGCCAGGACAGCTGGCCCAAACTACCCGCGACAATCTGCTTGCTACAAGGGGAGGGTCCTAGAGAGGGTGCGGCCCGAGCCCCAATCTGGAAATGCCAACCTGGCTCTGCAGCCGGGCCCCAGCCACTGGGGTCTCGCATCCCTCCATTAGCGCCATGCCAGCTTGGAGTGCTGCCAAGGTCCTGCCAAGGTCCTGCCACTTCCCCAAGCCAGAAGTGGGCAGCAAGAAATAACGAAGCCCTTGTACCACCTCCCACCCCACCAACCCTCACCCCATCCCACCTCCACCTCGGCTGTAACCCAGAACCTGCTGGCAATTCTTAAGGCATTTCTAATAATTTTAAAGCTAGCTTATTTATTAAAGATTTTACTTAAGTTACATAAACTTGAAAAAGTATTTGACTTGTCTTTTCCTTTTTCCTGATAAAGTATTTGATTCAAGTGCTTTTATTGTCTTAAGCCAATTAATTAGAGCTCCTCTGTATATTTTCAGTAGTGAAAAATTGTGTACACAACACATAAATACATAGACGTATTACGCATGCCAATAGAAGTACATCTTATAGATTCATAAAGACTTTTTTTTTTCCTACCTTAGAGTTTTAAGTTCTTGATAACTTGGTTCACTACTTTGGCAGTTGTCAGCTAAATAGCCCTAAATCTGCATATTAAAGTAAGGTAGGATCCCACCCCTCATATTGCCTTATGCTCAATTTCTGCCTCCAAAGAAAGAAGTAAAACCTAAAAGGCAGAAATGAAATCCACAGGCAGACAGCCCGGTGCCGCACCCTGGGCCTGGTAGTTAAAGATCGACCCCTGACGTAACTGGTTCTGTTATCTATAGATTACAGACATTGTATAGGAATGCACTGTGAAAATCCCTATCTTGCTTTGTTCTGATCTAATTACCAGGGCATGCAGCCCCCAGTCATGTACCCTCTGCTTGCTCAATCACGACCCTTTCATGTGCACCCCCTTAGAGTTGTGAGCCCTTAAAAGGGACAGGAATTGCTCACTCTGAGAGCTCGGCTCTTGAGACTGAAGTCTTGCTGATGCCCCCGGCCGAATAAACCCCTTCCTTCTGTAACTCGGTGTCTGAGGAGTTTTGTCTGCCGCTTGTCCTGCTACATTTCTTGATTCCCCGACCCGGAAGCGAGGCAATTGGCGGAAGGTGAGGCAGCTCCTTAGGTGGCTTAAACCTGCCCTGAGGAACATCCCTGCAGGGGACTCCGACCAGCCCGAGCAACGCGGATCCTGAGAGCTCTCCCAGGTAGGCATTTGTCCCAGTGGGACGCCTCGCCAGAGCAGTGTGAGGCAGATCCCCATGGAGGATCAATGCAGTGGCTGAGCACGGGGAAGGAAAGGGCACTTGGAGTCTGGACTTCTAAAACTTGGTAAGACTAGTCTTTGAAACTTGCCCACTCCATTTGAGTGGAAGAGTGGCCTGATCGCCCATGGTGTGCCTTTATCGGCACTTTGGTTTTGGTTTTGATTTGGTTTGAATTGCTTGACAGGACCAGTCTTGGGAACTTGCCCATTCCATTTGAGTGGAAGTGTGGCCTGATCACCCATGGTGTGCCTTTATCGGCACTTTGGTTTTGGTTTTGACTTGGTTTGAATTGCTTGACAGGATTGGTCTTGGGAACTTGCCTACTTCATTTGAGTGGAAACGTGGCCTGATCACCCACAGTGTGCCTGTACCGGCACTTTGGTTTTTGTTTTTGACTTGACTTGGATTGCTTGATACTTTGGTTTTGGTTTTGGATACTTGGATTTCTGGATACTCTGATTTTGGTTTTGATTTTGGTTTGGTGTAAACTACAAAAGTGTGTGTGTGCCCTTTTTATCCATTCTTTGCTTTGTGGTGTGTGTGTGGTGTAAAGCGTGGTGTTTTGTCTAGAGGAAACATGGGTGAGGCACAAAGTAAGCCCACCGCACTAGGAACTATGTTGAAAATTTCGTTGAACTATGTTGAAAATTTTCAAAAACAAAAGGATTTAAGGGAGACTATGGAGTACTATGACACCAGGAAAACTTAAAACTTTGTGTGAGATAGACTGGCCAGCATTAGCGGTAGGTTGGCCATTAGAAGGGAGCGTGGACAGGTCCCTTGTTTCAAAGGTATGGCACAAGGTAACCTGTAAGCCAGGGAACCCAGACCAGCTTGTTTTAGATCCCCTGCCCACAACATATGGTGGTTGAGAGAACAGCAGCATAAGCAGCTGGCAGAGGCAAGGAAAGACCAGCAGAGAGAGAGAAAGGAAAGAGACAGAGAGGAAAAGAGGCAAAGAGAGAGAGAGAGGAAGAGACGGAGAGGAAGAGACAGACAAAAAGGGAGTCGAGAGAGAGAGAGAGAAAGACAGAGGCAGAGAGAGAGAGGAAGAGACAGAGGCAAAAGGAAAGTCAAAGAGAGAGAGACAAAGTCAAAGAGAGAAAGAAAGAGATATACAAGTAGTTAAGAAAAAATAAAAGGTGTACCCTGTTCCTTTAAAAGCCATCATACCAGTTCTAATTTGGACACAAAACAAGGTCTTATTAATAGCAAAAGATAATTAAAATCCCAAACTTACAAGCTGTTCAACAAAAGTAAAGTTTGCTAAAAGTTAACAGTGTAACGTGTATTGTAGTAACTTCTAATCTTGTGGCCTTAGACAGTAGTCCACAGACATTAAAAAAAAAAAAAAATGGTTCGCTTTGGAAAAGAATGGTTATCATCTTCGAAAAAAAAGAAAAAAAGGGGGGGGGGCGGAATTTATATAAAAAGAGTGTTATCTCAAGCCTGTAATCCCAGCACTTTGGGAGGCCGAGACGGGCAGATCATGAGGTCAGGAGATCGAGACCATCCGGGCTAACACAGTGAAACCCCGTCTCTACTAAAAATACAAAAAATTAGCCAGGCGTGGTGGCGGGTGCCTGTAGTCCCAGCTACTCGGGAGGCTGAGGCAGGAGAATGGCGTAAATCCAGGAGGCGGAGCTTGCAGTGAGCTGAGATCCGGCCACTGTACTCCAGCCTGGGTGACAGAGCGAGACTCCGTCTCAAAAAAAAAAAAGAGTGTTATATGGTAAATTCTTGTCCTGAAATAAATTAGCTGGTTGTTTAAATAAAGAAATGTTTGTAATAAGTCAGAAAGTTAAGGCATGTAAAAAAAATTGCCTGTAAAAGTCGTGAAAAAAAAAAGGTTATAAAAAGTGTGTTAAAAAAAGAATTTATGCAAAAAATGCTGTATAATTTAAAAGTAACTAGGCCTCCTGAGTGTAAAACTATTGAAAAGGAAAAAAAAAACAGTTTATTTGCAAGGTGTACGAGAAAAGCAAAATATACCTTTGGTAAAAGGATTATATGCAGGCATAAGAATGTACATTTCTACCTACATTAAAAAGTTAAAAATTATTGTTTTGAAGGTTTAAGCAAGTTTTAAAACATTAATTGTAAAGAACATTCTGTGTATAAACATATTAGCTAAAGTTAAAGAAGTATCATCCAGTTTTTCTGTGAACTGGAGATTAAAGTAAAAGCATAACAGGTTTTTCTTAAAGCACCAACCTGCTCTTTAGCAAAAATTATAAAAGGTTAAAAAGAGTCTACAAAATCTTACCTTATGGTCAAACATTAAAAATTAAATAAATATGTCTACAAGGTTTTATTAAAATTAGGTTTAACATTAATAACACACTAATATAAAGATAACATTTAACTTATCTGGTATAAAAAATCATACGAGAAGCATTGCTAAATGTAAAATGGTATTTGGCTTTCTTTGGTTTAAAAACTAATAAAAATAGGTGCTAAAGGAAATTTCTCAGTAAAAAGGCACTAAGGACTATAAAGTCCCCACATTAAAGTCCCCACATTTAAACTCACACACACACAAAAAAACTAAAAGTCTTTTAGCACATGTGCCACCCCTAGAATTTCCAGTAAACCAGCACCAGCCTGAAGATCACGTTCTCATCGAAAGGTGGAAAGAAGAAAAACTCGAGCCAGCCTGGGAAGGACCCTACCTTGTGCTGCTAACCAAGACTGCTGTTCGTACAGCAAAAAAAGGATGGACTCATCACACCGGAGTCAAGAAAGCTCCACCCTCTCCAGAGTCGTGGGCCATAGTCCCAGGGGAAAACCCTACCAAACTAAAGTTAAGAAAAATTTAACTCTTTTAATCTATTCTATTACTCTTTCTTCTTTCTTCATTCTGTTGCTGACCATCTAGTTATTAATATAACCAAGTCAATTTCCAAGTCAAAGACAGCTTTCTACTTCAGAAAAGTACTTCTGTCCCTCCTGACTCTCTTCAGACTAGGCATTAGTGAACTAGGACCATTTAATCCGGGGACATTTCGATAAAGACCCCAGTGCCAATCAGGAGTGTTGCCCCCCCGATGTAGAGCTTTCATGCCATAGTTGGTCCAACGTTCTGTGGACCACTAAAGAGTAAGGATGGACTGCCCCAACTGGTTTTTGTAATTTCCCTAAAACCATACATTCATTTTACTAGAAGACCATAAAAGTTAAAGACTTAAAACAAACTTTAGCAATTAAGAGAGGATACCAAGATGCAAATGCCTGGTTAAAATGGATCAAATATTCTAACTGCACATTAAACAAAAGCAATTGTTATGCTTGTGCACATGGCAGGCCAGAGGCCCAGATTGTCCCCCTTCCACTAATGTGGTCCTCCAGTCAACCAGGTGTAGGCTGCATGATAGCTCTTTTCCAGGACTCTACGGCCTGGAGTAATAAGTCATGCCAAGCTCTCTCTGCTATATCCCAAAGTCCCTGCGGGTCAGCCCCCAAGGGCCATCCAGCTTCCGTCTCCCAACATTAAGTTCACTTCATGTCTCTCACAGCAGGGAGGAAACTTAGCATTCCTTGGAGACCTGAAAGGATGCAGTGAGCTTAAGAATTTTCAAGAGCTTATCAATCAGTCAGCCCTTGTTCATCCCTGAGCGGATGTGTGGTGGTATTGTGGTGGACCTTTACTGGACACTCTGCTGAATAACTGGAGTGGCACTTGTACTTTAGTCCAATTGACTATCCCTTTCACCCTGGCATTTCATCAA